TGTGGGGGGGAGCAGCTTGTCTCGCCCCGGAGGATGCGGTGGCGGGACCACTGCACGTCTGGGTGGTCCCGCCGCCCACGAGTTTCGGGGCGAGAAAAGCCCCGTTCATAAGTGCGGATCCGACATAAGTCGGATCCGCGTAACTCGGGGACTGCCTGTATTAGTAGTAGCGTTGCCAGCAGATCTAGGGTAGTGATTATTCCTATTTGGTACCGTAAGGCCACACCTGCAGTACTGCATCCAATTATGGGCCCTTATAGAAAGGATGTGAACTCACCAGAGAAAGTCCAATAGAGGAAAACAAAAATGATTAGGGAGAGGCTGAGGGATTTGGGCTTATTTGGTCTATAAAAGAGAAGGGGGATTTGATAAAAGCCTTCAAACCTAAAGGAGAGACGGTTCCAAAGAGGGTAGAGAGGCACTATTCTTAATGGTGACAGATGAATGAGAAGCAGTAGTCTCACATTGCAGTGGAGGAGGTTCAGGTTGGATATTAGAAAATACTTTTTCCACTAGGTGGACTTAAGCATTGGAATGTGTTATGTAAGGAAGTGGTGGAATCTCCATTGCTAGCAGTTTTTAAGCCCCAGCTTTACAAAGCCCTGGCTGGGAAGATTTTAGCAAGGGGCTGAACTCGATGACTTCATGAGGTCTCTTCCAACTCTAGGATTCTATGATTCCATGCCAGCAATTATAAAAAATGAAAACTGCCCAATTATTTAAACACAAAATAGATGAACAGAGGAATACTTTAGGGAGGTGCAATGTATTTGAGGGTGTATGATTGGAAAAGCATAATTACTGAGGGGTAAATGCAAACTAAGTTCCAACTGAATAATTAAACCACCATCTAAATTCTGAATTGTATCAAAATTACATAGTCAAAATATATTCAAGTTACTGCTGTCATAAGATTTATTTTGTCATGATAGAGATTTGTGGTTTCTTGATAAAGTGATATATTCTTTTTTTCATTTTTTCTAAATTCACACGTTGCAAATCACGTTTATATCATTTCAAAGTTGTACTTAGCTAAACCAACCAAAATTTTAAGGATCCCCAGAACTGACAGTTGATTAAGTAATTTAAGACAACCATGTGTCTAATCTATTGTTCTCAGACAAATGGCAAACCTTGAGACCTCCCAAGGTTCTCCAGCAAAGTCAGGGAAGACCAGGCTTGACATTCATCATAAAAATCCAATAGGTGTTCTCTATATCTGGAAGAAGCAAAAAAGGACAAACTTTTTGTGCTTGTTTAAAACTCTTTAGAGCAGTGAGTTTCTGTTCAATGGGAACGGGATTAAAAAGTTCCTAAGTCTCAGACCCATGTTTATTCATTTAGACTAAACTTCCTTTCTCCTGTTCCCTTTTCAGACATTTACATATTATACCTCTTACCTTTATATGGCTTTAAGTATTTAACGCTAACCCAGCCCCTTGTTGGGCTCTCATCAAAAAACTGTACATGCACACGGGAAGATTTTCCTTTCACTCTGACTAGTGTTCCTTCAGTTGGGTGGTTATACACAAGACATGGCCACCAGGGGTACCCTTCCATCTTAGCCCAAACCAAATCACCAGGTGAATAATCACAGGAGACACTGCAAACACAAAGATACAGCTTGATTAACAGATGACAAGTCCCCAATCTTTAAGTCAGTCCTTCCATGAAAGTTACAGCACCACTTAGGCTATGTCTATACTATGTTCTATTTTTGAAAGAGGATATGCAAATTATGTGGGAATTTGCATATCTTCTTTCGAAAATAGAACATAGTTTAGACATACCCTCAGTCTCTACAGGTCTTGCTGGCTACTGAATTAACAAAACTTGCAAACACTTCTACTTAACAAAGTGAGGTTCTTCCACTCCCATCTCTAAGAAACCCTGTAGATTATCTATTGCGGGTGTAAAATACTGGATGTAATTTACTCAGAGGGAAAATTTAGATTTTCAAGAGTCATTAACACTAACAATTGAGGCCAGATTTTTGTTTTTTGTTTTTGTTTTTTTAAACAGAACTCAATTCTCACTAAGATACCTAGAACTTTCAAAAAAAAAACTTCAGAAGCTAACAGTTGGATGCTGAGTACTTCTGAAAAGCAGGCCATTTTCCAATTGTTTAATCAACAAGAACTGGAATACAGTGCTGATTATCAGATATTAAGACAAACAAGCAATGATATTCAGGAAAGGTTAGCTAAATGCTAATTGATTCACCATTGTTTCCTTAAGCTAGAAGAAAAACTGTTCCTCCATAAATGCCTCAAAATCTAGTCACTGTTTCTTTGAATATGATTTTCACTGTGCATTAGGAGAAACGACTTCAAAGCTGCTTACAGTTTTATTCCATCTACATTAATACTGATTCATTACTAGCAACAAGCCAGTTTCAGTGAAAATGGATTTTCTGTATTAGAGACATAAACACTGTAACCGTTTACATGAAAGGTTTATGTGCCCCACCATAAATTTGCATGTTAAGAATCTAGAGCATTGTCGTTAATGTTATGATTAATTACAGATAAGAAAACTGTTAGAAAAAAAATCACAAGATTAAGCATTCAGAAGCTAGGAAATGCCAGAATTATGGATGCAATTTCAAGTTAGCCTTGTGCGTATGCACATGATACAGTAACTTCCACAATACCCTCATCTCATTCAGCACATAGGATGGAGGATGCTCAGTGAAGCAGCTATTCAGTATTTTGTTTTCTCCTTGTTTAGGGTGTGGCTATAGGATAGGTATACACTACTAACTTTACGTAGGTGAAATTATATTGCGAGGGGACAGGAGGGGGGGGTTGTTAAAAAGCCACCTAACTGACCTAACCCCGATGTCAATAGTGCTATATCCACAGGAGCATCTGCACTAGATGAACAGCCGAGACGGGCTCTCCCGTGTAACAGGGCCTTCGCTACAGGGCTGCGCGTGTGAACGGCACTTTCCACACCCTGCCGGGACAATACGGTCTCGCTCGTGTTTCCATGGGCATGCGTGCGGCTCTGGTCGGGGTGGCAGAGGAACCCCAGGCACCAGTCCGGCTGTGCAGTAGCCAGGCTGAGCCACGGCTAGGATGGGAACCCGGCCTCAGGGCCCCTCGTAACAGGGCCTTCGCTACAGGGCTGCGCGTGTGAACGGCACTTTCCACACCCTGCCGGGACAATACGGTCTCGCTCGTGTTTCCATGGGCATGCGTGCGGCTCTGGTCGGGGTGGCAGAGGAACCCCAGGCACCAGTCCGGCTGTGCAGTAGCCAGGCTGAGCCACGGCTAGGATGGGAACCCGGCCTCAGGGCCCCTCTTGCTCCGGCAGCCCCGCCGGGACACACC